CGGGAGGGAGGGAGGGAGGGAAGGAAGGAAGGAAGGAAGGAAGGAAGGAAGGAAGGAAGGAAGGAAGGAAGGAAGGAAAATTGTGGCCATCCAGATCTGTTTTTGAATTGGGCAGACTTATAGAAAGAAGGAAAGAAGGAAGGAAGGGAGGAAGGAAAATTGTGGCCATCCAGAGCTGTTTTTTAATTGGGAAGACTTATAAAAGGAACCGAGAGAGAGAGAGAAAGAGGAGGGAGGGAAGGAAGGAAGGAAGGAAGGAAGGAAGGAAGGAAGGAAGGAAGGAAGGAAGGAAGGAAGGAAGGAAGGGAAGCTTTTCTTTAAGAGCATGTTTCTCCATTTTTCCCTTTGGGGAAAATATAATATTCAGCCTTTTTTTTAATATTTCCCAAAATATAGTATTTCAAATTCTTCTAGCAGGGGGAAGGGGCTTCCCACACCAGAAAAAAAAAGGTGGGGGGAAAAAGAAAGAAAGAAACAGAAGTCATGAAATCCATGAGTTATGTTTTGGCACCTACCCCATTCATGAAAACCCAAGAGAAATTAAGCCAAGCGCAATCTGTTGCCATCTCCACGCTCATTATATATCATCACAAAACCTGGACTCTTGAAAAAAAATGCTCACACACCTGGTGCGGGGTGTGTGTGTGTGTGCGTGTGTGTGCGTGCTCGGCTTGGGCCTCCTCAAGTTAAATTCCTACCCAAGAATCCAAATTCTGACTCAAACTTTTGTTTTTTTAAAAATAAGCCGGCCCTGACAGGTTGTGAAGAGGAGACAGCGCCGATTATCACGATTTCAAATTCCAGGCACCGGTCCTCCCCCCCTCCCCCCCCACTCACATCCCACCCCTCCCCGTCTCTCCTTCCTATCTACAGCAGGATGACTAACTCTGTTTTGGAACCCTTGTTCCGCCCTCCTCTGCATTACAGCTTGCAGGAGAGTCTACAGAGGAGATTTATAAACTTGTGTAGGGGGGAATTTTATTTTATTTTTTTTAAAAAAAGAGAGAGAAACCCTTCCCCCCTCACCAACTTTCTCCCTGAAAAATCAAAGCCGCCGAGCCTCCGGCACGAGGTCCAGAATTAAATTCTCACCTTTGTCAGCTTCTCTTGGAGTTCCTGGATTTTCACCTGTTGATCTGCATTGATCTGGACAAGACAGGAAGGGAAAGAATGAACAACATCGGGAGGGACCTCAAAGATCTTCTAGTCTATCCCCCTCGAGCAGGAAACATTTCGGACAAATGACTGTCCGGTTTCTTCTTGAAAGCCTCCAGCGATGGAGCACGCACAGGCTGATCCATTGTTGTCGCTATCAGGAAATTTCTCCTTATTTCTAGGTTTCTTGGCGGTTTCTTTTATGTGGGTAAAATGTTCACGAAGATTCCGGATAGTGCTAATACGGTCAAACAGGCCACAGAACCTCCATCGCGACTGCCTGTTCCCTGATCCCAGTTTTAAGTCCAGAATTCATCTGAATTTATGATTTTACTCTCACAAAATCTAAATCCAGGGAGCGTCCTCTGGCTAGTCCCTCATTGCCAATCAAACTGAGGATCAGTCAAATATTAGATTTATTCTGGGATGCCAAATTTGCTTTTGCGAATATGCAACTTTCTTGATTTTTCGCTGAAGACTTTTCGCTTCTCAAATCTGAGAAGCTTCTTCAGTTCCGCAAGGCAACTGAACTTTCTTTTGTTTCTCCTTGAAGATGTTTCACTTCTCATCCAAGAAGCTTCTTTACTTCCCAAAGCCAACTGGACTTTTTTTTCTTGAAGACATTTCCCTTCTCACCCAAGAAGCTTCCTCAGTTCTCAGTTCCAATACTTCTCCAAAACTGAGGAAGCTTCTCGGATGAGAAGCGAAACGCCTTCAAGGAAAACCAAAGCAAGTCCAGTTGCCTTTTGGAAAAGCATCTCGGGGGCCTATCATAATCTGGATGATTGAGAATCCCCCATAGATATTTCTACCGGGGTGTTATCGCGAAGAATTCCACAAAGAAAACAAGACTTGTAGACATACCTTCTCCAGCTTGGAATACAGCTCTCCTACTTCTGTTTTTCCTTGGTCTTTAACCTTTTAGGTGAGAATTAAACAAAACGTGCAATTTAGTAATCTGATCCAGATTAACAGAAAACTACGCAGTTTCTGGTTTCAGTGTTCTTATACCCACTTTATTGGGGAAACAAAGGTGAAAACTTGAAGGTAATTGTGATTCAAACAAGAAGAAAGAAAGAAAGAAAGAAAGAAAGAAAGAAAGAAAGAAAGAAAGAAAGAAAGGAAGAAAGAGAGAGAGAGAGAGAGAGAGAGAGAGAGAGAGAGAGAGAGAGAAAGAGAGAGAGAGAAAGAAAGAAAGAAAGAAAGAAAGAAAGAAAGAAAGAAAGAAAGAAAGAAAGAAAG